TTGTACCGGCAACGCGCGGAAAGCGTTATCCGTTCGATCGTCGCCCTCTCCCGCTGTCTTTCCCGGGAATATTTTGAAATTGCCCCTGTTGGCGGTTGTAAAATTTCAAGTAGCACGTGACTCTAAACCCCGTTACCGTACAATCTCCATACGAAATGAGATACGCGATACATCCTGCCTGCTCTGCTGCGGAGAAAATCAATTTTCTTTTATTGCCTGTATAAATGTACCCTTTACCGTTGGCGATACTTAAAATAACAGGTCGAGAATATAGTACCCGGGGTCTTCCATTATTTTAACACATCGTAGGAATGTATTCGCGAAGTTAACGGCGGTTTAAATCGCTCCTTAAACGTTGGTTTATTATTTATGAACGGCATAAGAAGGCAATTTGAGAGATGACAAAGGAACTTTATTTTGGGAACCCGTTTAATGGGGAACGAAATTCTAACAATAGGGTTTCAGTTAGAAGCGATCCTGGCTTTGCCAACGTTGTAGCAAGCAAGAATATTGCTAACGCGGGCCATCGCTGTTAATACTTTCCTAGCTACCAATTTTTAATGGCACCTAGTTCAGTTACGAGTTACAAATCTAGTTAAGAGGCAAAGAGTCTTATTGGTTTGGACATCATCAATCAAAAACATACTAAGATCCATCTGAGCTATCCGATCTTTGAGCTGTCAATATTTTGTAAACAATCTTCAAATTAATTGGAGATTATTTTTTCGAAAAATCAAATTCGTGCTGTTAATAAGAGATCTTTGGATGTGCAGAAGAATGCTTCGAATCAGCTGGACCTATAGGACAACCAACGAAGAAGTTCTAACAAGAGTGAACACTCGGTCGCTTTTGTCTGATCTCATTGAAATTAAAAAAAGTTCCTACCTTGCTTACCTTGGACATATAATGCGCCAAACAATTGCAGCTAATTCTGGAAGGCAAAATTTAGGGTAACAGATGTATAGCCAAAAAGAAGAAATCGTGGCTCAGAAACATCAGTTACGTCATCAAGCGCACAATAAGGCAGACTTTGCCATATTGGTCGCCAACCTCACCAGAGAAGGCATATAGGAGGAGGAATAGTACCCCAAGAAAGCATATTCGGCCGTTCTCATCTATTTGCAAATTGGCTTGCTATTGAAAAGCAAATCTACCTTTAATTTCCCAACTCATTTGAATTTCTTAGTGCTGCTCGTAAAGCACATACTGATTTAAACAACATTGCTTTCTTCTCAATAACTACAATAACCCTTAACTTAATTAACAGCTTAACAAATTTAAAGCTTGTATAGTGATAAGAGGTTTCGATGGCAGCTACTATAAATTAAGACTTTGGATCAAAACAAAGAACTTTTCTTTAATTACAAAAGGTTTAGAGGTTAAGAGGTGATTCTGCATTTGATTTAGTTAAACCGTGACCATATCATCCCTATTTAAGGAACATTTTAATCCCAACATTAAAACCAATATATTTAATATATATTCATTCATGTAAGCCTTTTTTACTAGATTGTATATTATTATGCTGTAAGTAGATAAGAAATATAATCCAGTGAAATGGTTATTCGGAAAAACATCAAGGTTTTTGATTGTGTTGGTCTATTTGATGTAACAAAGGCACTTTAATTCATTTAATTCATTTAGCCTATTTTTTTGCAGAATAAATATCAAATATTTGGGCTTTCCGGGTGTTCCAGTTCGTACAACTGCATCTCTGTTACACATTCGTTTCCTAGGTAACCGGAAGAAAAATTGATGAAAAATTTGTCTCTAAAGTCGGTTACTTACTAAGCTATTTTTGTTAATAGTATAGTATGCAACAATTCCGGTAAACGGCACTTGACTCACGAGTTTATTTGACACGAGCATAAACAAGTGAGTTGAAAAGTTTACCGAACGTGTTGCATACTATACTTTTTCTACGACCGTTAGTTTTTGGGTGCATTTTCGCAAAACAACACAAATACATTCACTGACATGACACACAGAATTGACAAACGTCAAAATTCAAAGGGTGGGATATATTTCCGCGGTAAAATCCCGGAAATGTCCGAAGTGGTTCGGATTCGTGGGAAACGAAGCTGACATATCAAAGTGACGCTTTCCGCACTCTAGATCGGTTTGTACTTAGGTATTTTACAGACGGGAGTAGAAAAAAATTATTAATTGTATTAATAGTATACTGGGCAACAAATAATAAACGCCACGGATCTGTTTTATTACTGGCAGTTGCTACCAATGCCTTAAATAAATCGCTCAAGTTATCAGCGTTAGATTTTTCTACATATCAATCTATTTGACCAGATTAATATAAAACCAAATTTGTTAAAATAGCTAAACCGGGGAAGAAGATTATCTTCCTCTATCTGCCTCATTCAAGCAAGAATAACATTTACTTCACCACTAAATATAAAATTTCCTGAGCAGTGTATTAGGAGCGGGATACGTTTTCCATTAATTATGCATTTATTGCTTCAATATCTGTTAGCAACAATCTTTATCGACAGGAGAACTTTGTTCATTATGATGGAAGCCATATTGGAAACTAAAATAGAACCGAAGCTGCTGCTGGTGGTGGCGATGGAGCGTCTGGAATGCCGCTCTAATGAAGGGTAACTCGAAGCGCGTAACATTTGCCTATTTCGTAAATTAAATGTTGCATTTTACGGTTTTTGTTGTGAATTGTCTTACAAAACCTTGCTTAAACTGAAATTACGTGCAGGTTCTATTGACTGCAGTCATCAGTTGACAATTTGAAGTCGGTTTCGGGTTTGATAGTATTTTAGTCTGTTTTTTCTTTAAGTTTATTTATGGTGCCCATTTAAAGCTTGCAATGCTATTTCTAATAATTTTATGTACGCATGGTAAGGAGAAAGCAATAAAATTTAAAAATCTATAAGCATACTGTCAATTTAAAACAGAAAAATATGGATCTAGTCTTTTAAAGTGCAAAAAAAAAATGATTTCAAGAACGGGGTTGGACAGTCGCTCATATCTCGAAAAGTAATTGTCGTAAGCACCCGGGCTGAAAAAACTAACCAAAACTATAGTGGTCGAGGGAAAACGCTAAAAATTAATTTTAAGTTTGGAATGACCGCCGGGGGGCGTAATCGCAGTCTTGAATTTTAAATTCCGTTTTTTGAAAAATAATCTGGTTACGTATGGATGACTATGGCCTATGAAGATCCCCTTTCTACGACTTCCAAGTTACGAGCAGGAGTAAAACTATTCTATGAGAAAGAGTCTAATTTATCCCAACTTGAATTCTTGAAATGAACACCATTTTAACCTGTAATGTAAGAATATTTCTTAAAAAATGGGACCAGAAATTCAAGAATGTAGCCGTTCTAGAATCTTAAACATAATTTTCAGTACTTTCTCTTGCCCGTTTTAGTTATAAGTTTTGGTTAGTAACACCTAGTCTTTACGAAGTTGGTAATATTAATTAAAAACTAATATAGGGTACCACTTTTAACAACTCTATGTTATTAAGTTGATAATAAATAAAGCTTCAAGTAAATTCAATTTCTACCCTTTACTTTCATGACGTAAAATTTGAAAATCTTGTTTGAAAAATAAATAATGATGTTCTTTATTCGTTTTGTTAGAACATCTTCATGGTTAGTTTATATACGTTTCTGGGCAAGCATTGAAACAAAGTTTATATCTTTTGATTTTATTTGTCGAACTTTTAATATTTTTGTTATCTTTATAAAAGCTATATTTATATTATGTTTGCTTAAAGAACTGCACACTTGTCCATTGGATTTTCTGAAAGATATTAAATGGGCGGAGGGAGGGGGGGTAGAGCGAGGTTCTTTGATTATCATTTTATCATTTTTTAGGATTTTGGGCTAATAATCGTTAGTTTCATTTAGTTTAGTTTCTTTATTTAACCACGTAATACAAGATTATGTATGTGTAGCATGTCAGTTTGTACAATTCAATAAATAAATTAATAAACAAAATAAAGCTTAAATATTTATTGAAAGAAGATTGTAAAATTCTAGATTTAAAGCGTTATTTTTAGTTTTATTTATATAAACGACACCCGCTGAAGAATTTCTTGTAGGAAGGTTATGATCTCTGAGTAAATATACTTTGCCTTATTTCTATGCGTTTCATTAAGGCTACAATATATAAAGATTGAAAGTGCTGGAATTATTCGAAGACTTGAAAAATACGATCGACATGATTCTCCCTAATGGAGATTTAATAGAATTCTAATTGCATTTTTTTGCCTAAAAACCCAGGTTAGAATTTCCCGACAGTGTAACTGTCCTTACTAAGTGTGTTTTTAACCACCATGGTTGTTACAAATTGTTACAAAAAACATCAATATGTGCACTCTAATTAAGATTATCGTCCAAGGTGACACCAAGGAGTTTGACGCTATCATCCTTAGTTATTAAAATCATTTTCATATATATTCATCGTTTGTTTTCAAAAATCATCAGGTCAACTTAATTGCAATCGAAAAATATTTCTTAGATAGATTTTGCTATGAATTTTTGTCTTCCCATTCCACGGCAAAAGCGGTCAAGACAAATCTAATTACAAGACGGACATTCCGAACAGAATACCTGATGATGAAGTGGAATATATCACGAAACACATTATAATAATACCTATGCAGACTAAAATCGATGAAATGGCAACTGGCACACCGTTATCGTCCACCAAAGGCCGTATTTCAACCGCGGTTCGATATTATGTGTTCAGTTCTACTGTAATTACAGCGTTTTGGTTTTAACACGGGGGTATTCTTCGACATGCGATCACTTCGGGCCCTGATTTAATAAGAAATTGGCGTGACTTGCTTAAATGCCTCCGGGCTGGTTTGTTAAATCAATTTATATGATAAAAGGTAATTTTCTATAGAAAAATCAATCAATGCGGCGCTAATGATATATTCAAACACGAAGTTCGTCGACTTTTAAGGCCGAACTTAATTTTAAAACTGCACGGAAGGTCTAATAAGGGACGTGTGTCCGTTTCAGGGATGGCCTGTCCAAAGCGATTCGTCATTTGCCGGAAAGCCGACAGATGGAGACGATGCAGAATCTAACGGATCTCCTTAGGAAGACGTTCACGTCGCAGTTTGTTTTTCCCGCCCTTGGCCACGACGATCCCATGGCTAAAAAAGAACTCGGCAAGATGTGGGCCCAATGGTTACCGACGGACGCAATGAAAACTTTCGAAGCAGGTACACTTTTCAAACTTACTTGTATAATTTGGATCCTACTTAAATTTGACTAAAATATAACACGGTTTCAGATATATTTTCTCCAAAGCTATTTAAAAAAATAAAAACTCTGAAACACGTCGACTTTGTTTGCAAAAGCATATTTTCACTATTTTCAAATATATTCCGTGTGACAAATGATTTTTTAATAGTATATTATGCAACTAATGCGGTAAACGGTATTTGACTCACGAGTTTATTTGACACGAGCGGAGCGAATGTTTAATAAACGAGTGACTCAAAAAGTTTATCGAACGTGTTGCATATTATACTTTTTTTAGGACCGTTAGTTTTGGGTACATTTTCGCAAAACAACACGAACACATGACCTGACCGTCAGAATTGACAAAATTCAAAATTCAAGGCGTGGGAAACAACTCCGAAAACATCCGATTGCTCCCAAATCGTGGTAAAGTGACGCTTTCCACACTCTAGATCGGTGTGTAATTAGGTATTTAACAGACGGGAGTAGAAAAAATAATTAATTTTTATTTTTTAAGGAAGTCGTTTCCCAACAATTCAAATAAAGTGCTCACCATGACTACCATCTTCTTCCATGCAGTAGTAGAGTCTCTGTTCAAATGCTGTTCCGGCATTTTTCAACATTTCAAGAGTTATTCTTCTGTATTCATCTACCATTGTTTCACACAGCTCTTGCAGAGACCTTGGCACAGTTAGGAACACTTTACTTTTTAAATAGTTCCATAAAAAATGGTCTAATGGTGTTAAATATGTAGAACGTGTGCGTAGTTCGGTCGGTCCCCTTCTTAAAATGGACTGTCCAAAATATCTATTATTTAAAAATTCTCGCACAATCAACAGCACCATCTTGCTGAAAATATAAGTTATTCATGCTATGCCGGGGATCGTTTTCAAATTCTTCAGTTGTCGATCTCATTTTCGAAAAGCTGTGTTGTGTACGAGCTTAAGGAAACCAGTGAGGATTTGAGTCTAGGCTAAATGAGATTTTTAATTAATTGTTCAGTCACTTGTTCAACACTTTGATTTATTTAAATTTCGACAGCCATTTTTCTACACTCGTTTCGTATTTATTATTTATATTTTATTTATTTGTTTTATATTTTATTATATATTTTTTATTTTTTGAAATACTTTTCCGGAAAATAAATGCTCATCCTTTTAATAATTTAGAACCTGTATTTTGATGGCGATTTTGTGATTTTTATCATTTTAAAAATATCTAACTACAGTGGAGTTCGGATATCGTAAACCCGCTTATTGTGAACACTCGGTTATAATGAACACTTTTTGAAATACACTCAAAAAGTCTCATAAGACAAATGTACATTTTTACTGTTTATAGTGAACCCGGATATAGTAAACTTTCAGATACAGTGAACTAGATTTTGTCACGATTAAGATATATGTTCCGTTTTTAATGAATTTTTTCGGGGGTTCCCCCGGTAATTTCCGGGAGAATAAAATGAACTTATTCGGGAGTTCCCTGGTAATTACCCGATGAAATGTTAAAATACATAGCACATTAGTTTTGTTATTATTTTTTTATTTTGATTTTAGATTTTGTGGAAAATATTGATGACAAACCTTTAATGGAAAAGAAAAATACGATGTTATACAAAAATTTAAAAGTTGTATGAAACAAAGTGATATTTAATTTTTCAAAGAAACTTCCGTAATGGTTTTTACAAATCTTCTGGATTCCTACTGCGTCGATTTTTGCTCAGTCGAAATTGCTGACGTTTCGCCAATCGCTCTGAAGAAGGCAACATGATTCTGTTGGCTTCTTCAGAGCGATTGGCGAAACGTCCGCAATTTCGACTGAGCAAAAACCGACGCAGGAAGAATCCAGAAGTTTTGTAAAAAGCAAAGTGACATTTGTCGTGAAATGAATTTGCCTAAAATAACTGTCTCCATTACCTGGAAAAAAAGATAGGATTCTCTCGCCCTATGGTCAAGTTAATGCAAGTTGTGAAAGGCTCAGAAAGTCAGCTCATGATGACGTCAATTAGGGACTTTTACAGTGGTTTACCCAAAAAAAAAAGAAAATGTTCCCATAAGTAGTCCAATTCTTTAGCAAAAAATGGGAAGTAGAATAGAAGGAAGAGATTTTGTGTGTTCCAGAAGTGGCATTGAACGTTTCAAGAAGAGAAATTGTATCTCTGGAGGAATAGTTGTTGGTGAGTCTGTTTCAGTTGATATGAACATTTTTAAACCCTACAAACAAGACATTGAAATTTCAAGGAGAAAGGTGTGCAGGTGGAAAATTGTCCGAGGTTCGAATAACAGTTCTGGTTACTGTAAACATGTCTGGGACAGAAAAGAGAAAGCTTTTTGTTATCAGCAAGTCAGTAAACCCAAGATATTTTAAAAACAAGACCCTGCCAGTCAAGTACAGGTCAAACAGCAAAGCATGGATGACATCTGACTTATTTATCGAAGAGCTGCTCCAATGGGATACAGAATTGAAGAATAAGAACAGAAAAATTACTCTTCTTGTAGAAAGTTGACCAGCACATCCCAATGTTCCGTTGAACCAAATCAAACTTGTTTTTATGCCACCCAATACCAGTTTAAAACTGCAGCGTATGGATCAATGGATAATGCATTCCCTGTCACTGTACAGCGAACCAATTTTGATGCAACTTTCGAGTTCACTATATCCGTATATGATTTTTTTTTGTTTTGTTATTTAAAGTTACTATTGGAAAGAACATGTACTGAAAAGAGACTTTAATTCAAGTCAGCCCGCAGAAAAAATAAATTTGTTGTGAAAGCCGCGACGCGTGCGGATGGCGGTGCTGTTGCTCTGATTATTTTTTGCGTGTAACTAAGGCTCGGGTTGATTCTTATTGTTGAAACTTAGTTAAGTGATCTGTTTCATACTCGCTCATATGTATCTAGGTCACCTGCGCGCTTTCGTCTGTTGTGTATTGCGTGAAAATACTCTTAGTTAGCTGTTTAGATTGAACACATTTGATTACCGCCAGCCCGGTTCGACTTTTTGTGGCGTTCAAAAAAGGAAAGGTATAACTTTTTCTGGCTCCCGTTCACTTTCGCCGCTACCAGGACCGATCAATATAAAACGCGATGTCCTGTAAGGAGTGCAATACATCGCTGTCTTCTCAAAGGCCCAGTGTTAAGTGCAGTGGTTGTGACTGGGACTTGCATGCCGACTGTGTGGGGCTGTCGAAAGAGGCAGCTTCTTGTATGACGCGCAGCAAACTACAAAAAATTTAGAATATTCTGCGGTAAATGCAGCAAGCAGGAGGTCAAGCTTGATCAACTAGTTAAAAAACTTGAGGCAAGAGATAGACAGTTGGATGAGCTGAATAATAGGTTGGAGAGAATGGAAACAACCTTCAACAGTCGCATAGTGACTTCCCGAGTCTGATCCAGATCAAGATAAGCAATCGGCAACGGAGATTATACATCAGATAACGAATGACGTTCTAAATCTCTCAGTGTTTCGGTTGGGAGCCCGTCGTCCTGATGGGGAAAGCTCTAGAATCCGACCGCTAAAGGTCGTAGTTGGAAATCCTGAAGTGGTTAAAAAAATCCTAAAACAGAAAAACAAGCTTCTTACTGGACCGTTTAGGAATGTTAAGATATTTGACGACTAGCGCGACTTTTTGGAGCAGAAAAGGAAGGAACTGAAGGACAGACACGAGAGAGGTGAAAAGCAGTTAACAATCAAATGTATTAAAGGTGTGCCTTCAATCGTCAACATCTCGTCTCCAAAAAAGTAAGCGTCGTTTCCTTGCCTATTGTCTACACCAATATTTGCTCATTGCCTGCCAAATTTGATCTTCTTGTTGCTTATTTGAATTCCGTTAAACCTGCCTGTATTCTAATAACCGAAACCTGGTTAAAGCTTTCCATTCCAGATTGCACCATATCTATTCCAGGATATACAATTTATCGTTCCGATCGACCTAGCAGGCGGGGTGGCGGCGCTTGTGTTTACGTTGCTGATCATATTGCCGGTACTTACAGGATCAAGCTCTTAGATTTAATGATGGGTCAGATGGTGGACGCTGTTTGTCTGTCATTTACCAGTTCTGATTTTAGTTTTTCACTCGCCTCTGTATACAGGCAAAGCGATACTGATAATGATTCTAATCTTCAGCTCTTACAATCCATAAACAATTTTGTCACAAATTCCGTCAACCCTGTTATTGCTGGCGACTTTAATTTCCCAAGAATATCCTGGCCTGTTACTTTAAACGACTTTGTCCCCGCTTCCATGGAATACATGTTCCTAGATTTTTTGTCAGATTGTAATCTTAGTCAACTTGTTGAAGAACACACGCGCTTCGGAGAGAACGACGCTCCGTCAACTCTTGATCTTGTAATTACTCCGGATCCCAATTTACTTGACAAATTGGAGCTTGATTCCCCAATTGGAAAGTCTGATCATGTCGTTATTGAGTTTTGTATTCAAGCCTTATGTTATCCCAAGCAGGTCAATAATCGCAAAATGTTATGCAGGACAAATTATGCAAGATTAGTTGCAGACCTTTCCCAACATACATGGAACTTTCCTGATAACGACGTTAATGATACGTGGACATATTTTCTGTCTACTCTGGATTATTACATAGGCACAAGCTCCAAAACTCATATTGTTAAGTTCAATTCTGAGAAACCTTGGTTAACTGGACATCTGTTCAAACAAATAAAACATAAAAGAGTTCTGTGGCGTAGATTTAAGGCCTGGCTCTGCTTCCGATTATGCTTTGCGCAGAAGAGTTTCTAATAGTTTATTCTTGGAGATTAGAGAGGCGAAGTCAGCATTCGAAAATGACCTCCTCAATCGGCCCAAAGCGTTTTATTCTTATGTCAGACAACACGTATCGTCTAAGGTATCCCTTCCTGTCATTAGAGATATCTCAGGAGAGGTCTCCTATAACCAGAACTTCATTTCAAATGAATTTGCTTCATATTTTGCTAGTGTGCTGTGCTGCTGATGAACCAGCTGA